ATTATAAATAGTTAATGTTAAATATTTTTAATATAAGTACTTATTATTTTTTTTTATTAATCTCTCGATATTTGATAACCACATTGAGTCTCGATTAATCCGAAATTGAGCTGTATTGGACCACATTAGAGAGAAACTCTTCAACGCCTATTTTTCCATTCACAAGACTCGAATTCAAAATTTTATTTAAGGAGAATCGAACTCCTTTCACTCGAATCAACAAATCATTGGTAACATAAGTACTTGTTATACCTTTACATTATATTTTTTTCTCAAAATTTTATATTATTTGTTTTTTAATAAATTAAAAGATATAATAATTAATTAATATAAAAATATGTGATATTAGTAATTAAAAACGTAACAATAACGTTAACAATTTAAGTAATTCAGTAATTTCTTTTTATTAAAAATAAAAAATTTTGAATTCAAGTAACATGACATATAAATAAAATAAGATAAAAAAATAAAAAATAATTATCTTCTATTGTGAAAAAGAAAATAAAAAAAAAAGTGACAGTAACATTACATTATTATTTAGCCGTAACAAATTACTGTCGGATTCAAAGTTTGGGCTAAAGCTGACTAATTCCCCTTTTTACGCAGCTTCCCTATAAATACTTTCACGAGATATTGACAAACTAAACATGCCCAATATTTTGCTTTCAATGAAAGTGAATGCCTTAATCCACTCTAAATATTTCAAATCTTAATCGACAAAGTTACGCAAAGGTCAAAAAAACTCACCGTAAATCTTTAAAATAATCCTATAAGTTTGAATCTCTAAATCTTAATTCAAAACGCTTGACTCATTTTAAGGAAATATAATTATTTTTAGTTGAATTTTTTCCTCCGACCCGACATCAATTTTTTTTTTTTTTTTGGTGGTACATAAGAATATGTCTGTGTTTTAATACTAGTTATTGAGAGGTTTCATGTTTGAATTTTAGTCAGCTAATCAAGAATATATCATGTTTGAATTTTCAGATGTGTAACAAACTAAAAACAAATGTTGCAGGTCTAGTTAGGTAACGGTCTACTTAATTTGTTACACCATATCAGATATATAATATTCTAATTTTTTTAGGCAAAATCCATTATAGAATATTATAAATCAAATAATCAATCAAGTATGAATATATGATGGTATAAAAATTGTTTGATAAGGGATGATTAATTCGATAAATCTAAACTCATCCTTATTGTCTTGAATACCTCTACTCATAATACAAATGAGGCCAACACCCAAATAGGAAAAAGCAAAAACTGCAACTGCATCTACAAATGGTTTACAATCCCCAGCAAGGAGAGATGAAATAAACTTCATCAATCATTTTCCTTCGAAGTAACTACTTTTGCTGTAGTATGACAACCCAGGCTGTATTAACCCCACACCCTATGCTCAGTGTTTTGTGAACAACCCTTGTGTCAATGAGGAAAAATCATACTCACTACCTGATTCTGAGGATTTTGATGCTGAGACTGGGGATGCAGATTGAGATTTATTTGTTTCCGGGGTAGCAATACTGTTAACTGGGGTTGCTTGTCCCAATGTGTAAAAGCTGAAAGGAAGAAAGCAACAGTTACAATGATGGAGTTGAAGACAAATCTTGTGATCTACCAGCATTATCAACTGAAAATGTTGTCGATGAAAAAATTTGATCAGATGAAATCCCTTGAAAATATGTAGGTGAATGTGTACCTGGATGTTGGGTGTGGAACAGAGTTTCCAGGTGCATTTGACAGTCCCATGTTCATTGTCTAACATATTGGTTCAACACAACCCTCATCAGAAACAAATTAACTATAAAGCACAACAATTAGATATAAATATTATATTTTGGGGTAGATTTTGGGGTAAACTTTCGTATGAAAGTGTTGATTGTATCACCCTAACTTTATAATTTACTCTTTTTGTACGGGTAGGAGTACCCCTTGTACTCCAACTTAATAATACTATCTTTTGCTGATCAAAAAAAGAAAATTAGATATAAATATTGTATGAAGTCTACCTGCATAAGTTTCTGCATATCATCAGCCTGCCCACTCATTGGCATCATCATCCCAGGAATTTGATAGCTAGTATTTGGCCAATTTTGAGTGGATATGTTAGACCCGTTGGATGCAGGCTGTTGAGCAGTTCCAGGGACAGATTTAGCGGCAGCAGCCAGAAGAAGCGACTGTTGCTGTGCCAGCATTGCAAGTTGTTGTTGAGTGGGAATGTTAGTTCCATTGGATGAAAGCAGTTGAGTACCTCCAGGAACAGATTTAGCTGCAGCAGCCATAAGAAGGGACTGTTGCTGTGCCAGCATAGCAAGTTGCTGTTGAGTGGGTATGTTCATCCCGTTGGACACAAGCAGTTGAGTACTTCCTGGAACAGATTTAGCTGCAGCAGCCATAAGAACGGACTGTTGCTGTGCCAGCATAGCAAGTTGTTGTTGGTGCATGGCAAAAGGTGACACCATATTTGACTGTAATACATCCAAATGAAAACTATCAAACAATGAATTTTTTACCATTACAAGTGAATTAATACCTCCAACAAAACCCATCAAAACTAAAAGTGTGCAAACTCACAACTTAAGTTTCTCAAGGAACATGTCATGGGTGACGAGCAAACTAATAAACAATGCACAATCCCATTGCTTTACCAGAAAATGGTAAAGCCAATCATAGTTTCTCACAAAGAGTTTCTAAGGCAGAAATAAATGATGATGCAGGACATACCTTCTCAAAAAGGCTCATAATATCATTTTTAACATCTTTTTGGGGCTTCTCATGAACTTGATTTGTTGTTTCTGAAGCAGAAATACTAAAGAAATCCTGAATTCCAGTGGCAGACTGAGAATTACTCTTAGCTGGTTTTGCTGGAGCAGTTGGGTCACTAGTGGATGCTTCTCCAGCAGCTGCAAAATTATAAAGAGTACCAACAACAATTTTAACCATTACTTTTAATTCTAAAGTGGTTGCAAGAAGCATGTTGACATAATGTAATGTAACTAAAAAAATACCAAAATCAAAGAGTATGCACAAACTGTTACATGATCCCATTAAGTGAGAAATAGGGTAAACTGTACAACATACACTGGAAACCTGCCCAGGCATTGTCATCACTGGTGGCTGCCTCTGAATTATTTTCACTCGGACCATCATCCATGGATAGCATGTCGAAAAGGTCTGTAGCATAATCAACTTTAGGAGGAGCAACTACAGATGCAGCATCTGTGGTATGCTTTGTCGCCTCTGCTGATGCAACTGTTGTTGGTTCTGTTTTCTGAACAACCAGTTGAGGTTTAACCTTTTTCATGCAGATCATGTTATGCATCATAAAGATAAAGCTTTCATTTTTTTAATTCAAGATCAAGAGAGGCAGCAGTGCAATACTGGCACCAAGCATGGAAGAGAGACATCCATCTAAACAACTTTTCTTTCAATTTAAAAACAGATCTCTCAAACTTTATGAGAGGTCAAGTATAGAAGAACCCAAAAACTAATGAAATACAAAATGCAATTGCCTTTAAATTGCCCAGATATATACATTAAAAAAAAAAAAAAAATGGAAGCAAAAACTAATAAGGCATAGCCTCTTCAGCATAAACCTAAACTTCAGGCCAGAAAAAAAAAGGCATAAACCTAAACCATGCAAGCTATTTGAAACATAATTGATAATGAGCAGAAGCAATTAAAATACCTCCTCAGGCCCCTTGGGAGGACCGGGAACACTCATTACTACTCTACGACTTTCTTTTATCCTAGAAGCTCGAACTTTCTTCCTTTCCTCAAATGAATTTTCTGGACCATTGGCATACCCATGTCCACCTTTCTCCACATGTCTCTGCTCCACCACAGAGGCTCGTTCATCTTGCCCTCTTGGAGGTGATTTGGGTATTCCATCTTTAGGAACCCATCTCTTCTCTTCATACCTGAAAGAATTTGAAACACAAACAGTTAACATAAGAAGAGAGGCTAACACTATAACAACAACCACATGCAAATGACAGAAAAATGCATTAGAACCGTTTCAGTAAAAAATTATTGATGGTAGGTTTTCATAAAATCCAGGATATGTACTTAGCACGGATGAAATTCTCAATTCCAACTCTATCATAGTTAGGTGGTAACTCAGCTTCCCAATAACTGTTTGCCTTCTCATTTCCCATTGCTGCACCAAAAAAAAAAAAAAACTTGTCATGCTTGTCAAGCTATTTTCACTGTTTAACACCGACATCTAGAATAAATTCAAATTCATAACAAAGTAGACAAGCTTACATTGAATAAATGCAACCTGCTCGGGAAGCCATGTGTCCAGGGTAGCAGATCGAACCTGTAGCAAAGATCAACAATAAGTATAAAGCATGGTCGAAATTGCATTTGTAGTCAACTAATACCCAAACAAATAGCTACAAACAAGGGATTGCATATATGTCAAGATAATCCCAGCCATTAAATGACCTTTATGTTACATTTGGGGGAAAAAAGATCACCTTTGAGATGTGTACCCCCAGGCTTCTGTGTATCCCAGAACATTGCATGCATATAAATATACCCAAATTCACACTGGCCCATCTTGGACCTCTGTATAGAAATCAAACAATTTTCAGAAATTAATTAAGATATTGACCAAAGAGATGATAACACATTCATAACTTGTACCAAAAAAGCAATGTATTCTTATTTGCTGATTTATGCACAAATTTAGGAAGCTGCATTGTATTTAGGGGAAGTAGAAAACTGATATTCAAGTTCTTTACAGTTACTCTATCAAGTATCAACATCTATCTCACTTATTATGGTTACATACTTGGCTTTGCAGTCTGCACATTCCTTATTCTCTGGCAACTTAAGAAGACCTTCAAGAATCTGTGTGTAGAGTGAAATAATAAGAATCAATCAAGATAACAAATTAATGAAACATTGATGGAACAAAAAATATAGATATAAAGAGAAGAAAAAAAAAAAAGAAGAAAGACTATGATTTAGTTCAATGATCATGTTTCCCACAACAGGAAGACTTAACAATTTACCAGATTAAACTTATTAAGCCTTCAGTGAAAGGAAAAACCCATTATGCAGCTTGATTTACATGCACATGAATTAATATATACAATTTTATACTCAGATCCTATAAGAATTTAAAACCCCCCACCCCTAGTTTTGTAATGCACCTGCAATCAGGCTTGAATGTATAGATTGACCCAATATTCATTCACATCCACAAATAAAGAATCTTCCTCATCACATCCACAATTCCACATCCACGAAGAAGTTCATAACTTATAGGAATGCTGAAGCATTGTATATCTATAAATGTAAACAGAGAATTCATAAACCCAACACATGGCTAACTCAGATCTTCACAACAGCAAAGAAAATCCATGTTGCCAATAATGCAATCCATCTGATGGAATTGCTCCTCGTCAGAACAAATATATCATCTATCAAAAATTGCAAAATTACAAATCTGAATGGATCTTAATTTGACAATTTCATCACATGATAACCAAAAACGCCAACCTTTTAGCTTCCTTTAACACAATCATTGTTTTTTCCACAAAAAATTTATCAAAACAGCTCGTATGCTGTCATCTGACAAAAGATTGGATCACAGAACTCCAAAACAGACAGATCAAATCAGTACAAAATCAAACACATCAAGCTTCCATCTGCTTCCAAACATCTAAACCGAAATTCAAAACAATCAAATAAACTCTGAAATCTTGCAACGGTTAATCAAACATCAATCAACCAACTTTACCCTTTTTCCTCGCCTTTCTCAATAACCAAACAGAAAATAAAAAAAACTTGGAAATCAACAAACTTTGAAAAACCGAAATCAGGGGTAAAAACAAAAGGGTGATAGGTAAAGGTAGAAACGGAACCTTTCTGTGCTTGGCATTGAGCTCCTTGGAGACGTTGGCCTTCTCGTTCATGGTAACCGGAATCAGTGGTGGAGAGAAAAGGGAAATATGAAAGAAAGCGAAGGTCAATCCAGTATTTTCCGCTCTATATCCTCCCTATGATTACGGAACCAGACGAGAAAGGAAGAGAACGGAGTCTCTGATTTCTTGACGCTTTTTTGTTTTTTTTTTTTTCAATTTTTATCGTATTTTTTGGTGCTGACTGCCGAGGGGCATGGCCGCGGGTCGGTTCTGGCCGAAACCAATGGATTTCGGTTTTCAAAATTGAGATGATCCGATCTGGTTCCATTTTAACCAGTGTTTGATCTAACCCAAATAATTTATTATAATTATAACATATTATAATTTTATAATATAATATATAATTAAATTTTTATATTAAAATTTATTTATAATATTATTTATATTATATTTATTTAATATTATATTATAATTATAAATTTATAATTATATATAATATTGTATTTATACAATATTGTTGATTTAAAAAAAAAAACTTAAAATACTAACTGCAAGTTTTGGGAAATTTGAAGGGATACATGAATGTTGATTTTGTAGTCCAAATTCCAAAATTATGTAAGATAAAAAAAGAAAAATAAAAATAAAAAGAAGTCTTTCTAGTTGTCATACCTTCCTCCATAGTTCATGCATGATACAATCCCCCAAATATTGTCATCACCGATTGGATAGCCCACACAACGAGTACAGCAACCTGCATCTCTCGAAGCTCTGCCAAGGGAAAAACTCCTCAGAATCTACCATCACTAACTGTTAACAATGCTAGCCTCTGCAAAAACAACTAGGTCTCTTTTTTTTTTTTTGAACATTGCAAAACGAGTAGTTTGTCTATCAAGATGATGATGTTCCTTGCCACTTCATTTGTTAGCCATCAGTTTCTTTTCATAAGTCACACCTAAAAGCCAAAACGCACCAAATTTTTTACTTTGAATAAACATTGCTTTGGCATTCTCCTGTTGTAGCTCAATGATAGTCACTGCTGCCCAACAGGGCAGCTAGTGAAATGTACTCTTGATCTCAGATTCAATTTCTCTTAGAATAAATACTAATGTACTAATCTAACCATTCCTTCTGTCAAAAAATAAATAAATAAACATTGCTTTGGCATTCTCCTGTTGTAGCTTAATGATAGTCACTGCTGCCCAACAAGGCAGCCAGTAAAATGCACTCTTGATTTCATATTTAATTCCTCTTAGAATAAATACTAATGTACTAATCTAACCATTCTATCTCTCAAAAAATAAATAAATAAACATTGCTTTGTTTCTCTAGTCGAGATAATAATAAGAAAAAGGGCTCTAGCTTCTTCGCTGGGTGGAAAACTATTCCAGAAATTAAGAAACTGTTAATGGTTGTAGCTGTATGATCTGGATGGTTTTAGATGGGGATTTGGCTAAAGTGGATAAGAAAGCGTGGAGGAGAAAGCTTTTTGGCATGGAGTTGGGGGAAGGCGCGCAGCAGACTAGGAGCTACTCTACAAATTGCAACTTGGATGGAGGAATTTCAGACTTAAGGGTGTGGGGTTTTGACATGGTGAAGCCGTGAAGGGATATTCACCTATTGAATCGTCCCTACTGATGATATGTCTTCCAAAATGGAAACAAAGGTTGGGATACGTTCAATAGGAAGGGACAATGATGATTATCGATGAATACAATAAAGATGCAGTCCTACACATGGGAAAACATTACAGCGTCATGTCTCAACAACAGACCACTAGAGAGCTAGAGCCTGTAGAAGATGAGCCAAGAATGTCGGTGTGCACTGTGCAAATCAAAGCATTTATCATCCTTTTCGTCTCAGCAGATTGAAACCAATATCCCTTTGTTCATTGGTTGTGATTTTTTTTTTATGGGAAAGCATATTCAAGAAAAAAAAAAGAATTCTCATATCTTGATTTAGTAATCAAACTCTTTAGTTGAGTAAAAATCACTTCTTATAGATTGCAATTTTAAATTTTCCCGTAACATTTTTTATTTCTTAATTGTCCTATTTAAAAAATAAAAAAATAAAAAAAAAAATCAAGAAAAAAAAAATTGAGAATTCAAACGAGCAAATACAACTAGTTGGCTTTTAGGTATATAGTCCTTACTCATTGCCATTGGTCGTGACTAGTTATGAGGGATTAAATGCCTACATTGATCACATGGAGAAACCACCCATCACTAAGTAAAGCAAAAATCCTAAGTTGAATTTTCACGGTAAACATAAACATTGACCTTTCAATTTTTCACCCAAGGGAACTGTACCTTGGAGAGTCAGAGTCCAAATTCCAAAAGCCTCTTCCTGGAGGGTCTAGTAGCAGGGCAGTGGTGGATGCGGATTCAGAGAGGCGACATGGAGGACCCTCGAAACCGAACTCCTCGTGGTCTAGGAGGAGCTGAAGAGGGAGGAAAGAAGGAATGCAGAGAGTTAGGACTTAGGACTCGGTGAGGGATCAATTGTATCGGACGAGGCTTTCTGAGTTGCTGGACTGCACCGGAGCGTCTGATCAGGAGGGCCCGCTTCCATTTGATGGTTAGTTTTGTCCTTCAGCATTTGTGCTGCTCCCACTCATCAAACACACTTATGCAGAGAAGGTTCACCGAGAAGTGAAGAAGATGAACGAACTCCCTGCTATTACTTCTTATGCCACCCACGGCTTGCGGGTTCTCAGTAAAATTCCTCAACTCTTGCCCAACAATGTAAAAATTCCGGCCCCAATTGGCCAATTCCTCTTATTTGGGCAATATCCACTTGAAAAGATTGATGCTTTTTTTTTTAAGTTTTCCCCTGTATTTTAAGGAATACCCATTTGCATTGGAGAAAAGTCTGATGCTTGTTGGCCTTACATTTTTTCCTTTGTACCAGAGAACTGCTTCACAAGAGGAGGAATTGGAGTTGCTTTTTGCTAGGTTGTCTCTAGGAATTGGATAGGCTTTGGCTGTGCAGATGGTAACCTGACATTAGGGATAATGTTATCATATCCCCCTTATTTCTGTAATCATAGAACCTAGGGAAAGGCAGTTCCAAGATTTTTGGTCAATGTTTGGTTCGTGGTAGTGGCTATTTGAATAGCATAACACGTTAGCAAACAAACGAGGAATACTTATTTTTTATACTTATTCATCATTATCCTTTAGTTTGGTAGAAAATTATCAAATGCTATTCCTAGCTTACCAAGGAATTTTCCAAATTTTTACCTTATTTTTACAGTTTTACTTCAGGAATATCCACTGCCACCAATGAAACATAACCATTGGTTTTTTAAATTTTATGCCTTTCTTTCCTAATACTACTTCATTTGATACCTTGCTTCCACCCTTACAAAAGAAGTAAAGCTTTTCACCTGAATCTTCATATGTGTTCTTAACTTCCTTGCTGAGGATTGCAGGTTGTTTTGGTTGTCTTCTGGGTACTCATCTTCTTTCCCATCGAGAAGTTTAAAGTAAAAGCCAGAAAGCCAGGTAATTACCCTTCCCTAATTTTTAACTTGTATTTGATCAAAGATTATTTATCTGAATCCTTTAGATTTACATTTACTGCGCTTGTCGTTGTCTAGATTTTTTTAGCTTCAAATTTGAATGGGAGCAGACCGGTGATCTTTTTATTTGTGGTATTCTCTAGGTACTCTCGTGACCATGTCTAAGGTTCTAAAAATTGTATGTGCTCCTGTTATAAGATGTTGGGAGTCCAAAAGAAATCTTGATGAAAATATGAAAACCCTTAGAACACTTTTGGAAGACCTAAATGGTCTTAAGGAATATATAGAGATGAGATTGAGTGCAGAGCACCGTCCTGAAGGAATGCCAATAGAAGAAGTCAAAAACTGGTTGAGGGATGTTGAAAGGATCAATAACGAATCTAAATCTATTGAACAAAAAGTAGAAGAAAAGAAAATTATCTCATGTGGATTTCTAGGAAAGCGTGTGCAAGGAAAGGTTCTAGAAATTGAGGGATTTCTTCAGAAAGGCAGTTCCCTTGGTGGTTTAGCTGTTGAAAGAAGGGTGAACCCGGTGAAGCGTTTCAAGTACATAATTCTCGGAGGTGGAGTGGCAGCTGGATATGCTGCCAGGGAGTTTTCTAGGCTGGGGATTAAGCCAAGGGAACTGGCAATTATTTCAAAAGAAGCAGTGGCTCCTTATGAACGTCCTGCATTGTGCAAGGGATATCTAGCTCTGGAGGGAGCTGCAAGGCTGCCAGGGTTCCATGTATGTGTTGGGACTGGAGGAGAAAGATTACTTCCTAGATGGTATGCAGAAAAAGGAATAGAATTGATCCTAAGCACAGAAATAGTCAACGCAAATCTTGCTTCCCAGACTTTGCTAAGTGCAGGTGGAATCTTCAAGTATCAGACTTTGATCATTGCAACTGGTTCCACAGCAACTAAGTTAACAGTAGAGGGAGCTGGTGCTAGAAACGTCTTCACCTTGAGAGAAATTAGTGATGCAGATAAACTTGTTGAATCGATTAAAGCAAAGAAGAATGGGAAGGCTGTGATCATTGGAGGAGGATACATTGGCCTTGAAGTTGGAGCAGCCCTGAGAATCAACAAGTTGGATGTTACCATGGTTTATCCTGATAAGTGGTGCATGCCTCGGCTTTTCACACCAGATATAGCTGCTTTCTATGAAGGTTATTACATGAAAAAGGGAATTAAAATTGTCAAGGAATCGCTAGCAGTTGGATTCAATGCTGATGCAAGTGGAGATGTAAAGGAAGTGAAACTCAAGGATGGTAGGGTGATTGAAGCTGACATTGTTGTTGTTGGTATTGGGGCAAGGCCTCTTACTGTATTGTTCAAAGGGCAAGTTGAAGAGGAGAAAGGAGGAATCAAGACTGATGGATTCTTCGAGACAAGTGTGCCTAATGTATATGCTGTGGGAGACGTAGCTACTTTCCCAATGAAGTTGTATAATGACATGAGAAGAGTTGAACATGTTGATCATGCTAGGAAATCAGCTGAGCATGTCGTGAAAGCTATCAAGGCAAGTGAGGAAAGGAGAAAAATAGAAGAATATGATTATCTTCCATACTTCTATTCTCGTTCCTTCGAGCTCTCATGGCAATTTTACGGGGATAATGTCGGTGAAACTAAGTTATTTGGAGACATGAACCTATCATCTCCAAAGCCAAAGTTTGGATGTTTCTGGTTTAAAGATGGGAAGGTGATGGGTGTTTTCTTGGAGAGTGGAAGTCCTCAAGAAAACAACGCTATTGCAAAAATTGCCAGTGCTCAACCTCCAGTTGAGAACTTGAATGAATTTACAAAGAATGATCTTCCCATTGCTAAGATTTGAAAGTTTTAAGATTTTCCAAGTGGATAATCAGTGTGTGTGAGTGTGTGCTCTTGTTATCTGCGTGCAGCTTTGTTGAATGAATTGCCAGGCTCGGGAAAACAACGCTATTGGAAAAATTGCCAGGCTCCAACCTCCAGTTGAGAACAACTTGAATGAATTTACTAAGGAAGATCTTCCCATTACTAAGATTTGAAAGTTTTAAGATTTCCATGTGTACAATCAAGGTGTGTGTGCTTGTTATCTGCGTGCATCTTTGTTGTGTGCCTTGTTTTCTAATATTGAGAAATAAATTTCAAATGATTGTATTTTGAATTTTTGATAAATGGACAATGACTAAACTTATACACGTATTTTTCAATTCGATATTCAAATATATTACATAAATTATTTTTGTTTAACTTTACGTTATCAATTTTTTTAGCTTATGTAAGATTGATCATACATAAGGTAATACTAGAAGTTAGAAAAACAGTGTCATTATGCTTATATATTATTCACATAAAATTGCCTTTTTCCTACCTAAAATTGCTACCCCATTAGGTATTTAAGTGTCATATTGATGTAGGTCTAGAAATCTAGTTGGGCCCATAATAACATAAATATAATTTTAGGGGACTGAATTCAGAAAACTAAAAAAGATCAGGGACATAAATTTGCATTTTAAGAAATGTATGGATGTCCGGTTATCCTGGACCGATATTTATCCAACTTGAGTTGCAGCTGAACCACCGCAGCGAAACGGAAGCGCGCCTGATTCCCTACAATCTCCATACTCGCCGTCGATTCTGTCATGGCCGACGCCGTTAGAGTGGGCCGAGCTCAAGACGTTCCGACTCCCAACCGTTACGGCATGATCGGAAGCGTTCTGATAGACCTCCGCAAATTCGCCGTCGATTCCGCTGTCAATATTTCCATCAAAGGGGTCACCGGTTTGTCCTCTCCTGACTTTCTTCCTTAATATCTCCGCGTGATGGATTTCTATTACCCGTATGAATTTATGTTGATGAATGTTCATATGAAATATGTTTTTAATTTGAACAAGTTTGTTCCATCTTCAAAGGTAAGGCTTTTGATTGTTAGGTTTCCTGATTTCTGGGATTGAAGATGAAATTTCTTTTTAAAAATGATTGAATTCAAGTGTTAAGGAATGAAAAATTTAGAATGCATGACTGTAATACCCAATTTGAAAGATGAGGAGATGATAATTGTCATTGGAAAGAAAGGGAAAAAAAGGAGGAAATAACTCACATAAACAATCATAACTAGTTTGAAATTGAAGCTTTGTTTCAGTTGAATATGCTTGAAAGTTCAGTCACAACGTTGCCGTTGGTTTCTGAATAGTGAATAGCATGAGATGAGAAATATAGGAATGGAAAATGATTCATTATGGGTTGGGCATTTAATCATGACTAATTTGGAATGAATAACGATAAATGGGATGAAAATTTGGGACTAAAATCTAGGAGTCATTTAAAATATTAAAAGGTGGATTTTATATTATTTAATAATTGACTCTTTTTATTTTTTTGACACCTCTAATATTATATGTATTAACTAATTTAATAACCTGACATACATCAAGTTGTTGGTTTCAAATTTTAATCTCAAATTTTCGTCCTCTCTGTCATTGCTCATTTGGAATTGGGTTTTTTTTTTTTTTTTTTTTTTTTTTGAGTTAAATATAAGGTTAAAAAATGATGATGAGTTCATCCATGGTTTCTGAATAGCATGAGATGGCATTTAGGTGGAGTATAGTAACATAAGAATAGGTTTTGAAGACATGAAAATGGGTTTATCCATTTGTGTTTGAGCGGCATGAGATGTGATGAGAAGCAAGGAAATGTAAAACATGTTCACTTCAGTGCTTAGATTTTAGATAGTGCTGAATGGGGAGAAAGGCTTATGTGGTTCATGCTAAATTGGCAATAGATTATATATTGCTCGGTCTGTTCCTTAGACGACCTCTATGTTGGAAGCTTTACATCTCTTGAATACAAGCCAAAGCTAAGTAAAATTGCATGTTCCACATACTTTGTTAAATTTTAGATCCATTTTTATTCCGCATCTTTTCAGTTTCGTTGTTTCTCATGTAAGAGTATTGCAGGAGGAAAAAGAGTCTACAAGATTATGCAGGAAAGATTAATAGATCGCCCCTCACCCTGTTTAAACGAGAAAAAGAAGCCAGAAGATTGCAGGCTCGTGGAGAAAATGCGAGTGAAAATAGAAGAAATAGAGGAAGAAATGGACAATATCAAGCAACAAAGTATGCCATCGGCTAAAACCGTGGGTGTATCAGAGCCTCTGAAGAAGACACCCAATGGAGGCAAAAAGGAATTAGATTTTGAGAACGATAACAGGAAAAGAATTTTCATTCGTTCCCGACTATAAAACTGTGCGATTCAGTCTAGCGATCATAGCATCTGAATCTTTAAATTCATGCAATCTAAATAGTAGTATTGTCTTGAGATTATGCTTTGTATTGTTAATTTACTTCTGGAGCCTAGATTTGGGACGTATGTTGTTTATCTTGAACACCAGATCATAAAGGATATGTATATTGGCGTTGATTAGAACGAAACAACTGAATTACAACTGATGTTTGTCTATTTAAAACAAAAAAACTGTAACATCGTCCAACAAAATAATTGTCATTAAACCTTCATTCAATTTCAATCTCTATAGCCCCTACGAAATACTTCTAGTATTAGAGTCAGTACAGTAAATAAACCGGTTAATTCTTGAATCTGGAAACCATATACATGACAAGGGAACTAAGAAGTGGTACTCCATGCAATTCATATCAAGTGGGGCATCATCTTCACTTACGAACATGAGATTGATCTTGAGATGCTTCCACAATGAAGAGCCTTCGGCAACCCTATTTCTTTGCTGAAGTCTCGACCACCGCAGACGAATCTGATCTTCGATGGCCCTGCTTTGTTACAGTCTCCGTTCACCATCTTATCATCCTCGATATGTGTTGCAGGTTTCTGCACACTCTTACGGGAAGAATTCGAACCCGAATCGGAATTGATCTTCTTTTTAGCAAACGCAAGACCTTGTCGAGTGCTTTCCACGCAACCCTCTTTCTCCATGCTTGATGTCATTGCCGGTTTCTGCTGGGTTTCATGCAAAGAATCCGCACCGCCATTAATCTTCTTTTCGGCTGCGGTACTACCTTGTTGCTTGCGTTTCAGGCAAACAGATTTAGTCCTATCACCGGCCGCTACCTTTGCCGTTGTTGGAGTTACCGAAAGGGACCCCTGTTTCCGAACAGTGTTATCTAAAGAACCCCAATGATCCGGCCGTGCATTCACCTTATTTTCCAAGAAAGGATGAGTAGTTTTCTTAAAACCCAGTTGGGAGGACTTGGGAGGAGACTTGGTGGTACGATCTTGATGCTGAGGCATTCTTGATATCTTCGGGATCGGCCCCTGTTTCTTCACTCGGCTCTTTGTAGAACAGAGACCCCTTATCAGCGAACCACCATGTTGAGTGCTTCCCGAATAACCACGAGAAGTGGGGTTGGAACCCAGTAGCGATTGTCTTAATAGCGAGGATAAAGGTGGAGACTTGATGATCGGAAGTCGAGAAACATCTTGGAACAGAAGGGAGTAGTCTCTGCTGTGCTTGATTTTCTGGATCTTCTCCTGCAATTCTTCAGGGCTAAGATTCAGCCTCTGGATAAAGGCACGGTGACTTCTCCGGGCGTTTTTCCGTAGCAAACCTCTCGGCTTCGTTATCACGCGAAGAACCCTACATCTTGGAGTGCCGTCATGGCGGCAAGGCACTGTCAGACTCGTCCAGAAAACCATGAGTGGATGGAAAAGCAAAACAGAGAGAGTGTGTCTAAGGAGACGCAATGAATTGAATTAATTCCTGCGTTATGCTGTGTTTATAAATAGGCTTTTGAAATTTCACTTTAGGTCGAATTCTAATTGTGGATTTCCAATTTGATTTTGGAGTAGGACTTAGGAACTGAATGCGTTGCGGATCATCATGGACCTTCAAAGATGAACTTTTAAATTTTCACCTTCGGTCCACTCCTAATGGTGGATTTCCAATTTGATTTCGGCTTCCTGAATATGGTTGATTAATTAATAATGTTGCATTTCTCACTATGATTTTTCTTCTAATGTTGCAGTTTGTGATGTGGGATTTGCTCGTAGGTTCCAAGTTCTTCAGTGGGGGCAAGATGGACAAGGCGGGAAGTGGTGATTTGTCCCTTTGAAGTCAATTTGTTTGGTTATTGGTAAAAATTTTAACTCCTTACCTTTTCCAAAATCAAAGTTAGCTCGGTTAAGCTTTTGTTGGTTAATTTGTTATAGCCTTGGTATACTTGGTCATCGTATGGAAAACTAACAAAGGCTTATTAATCTTTGTCATTCCATTTATTATTGATTTATTAGAAAAGAGATGTGGACATGCTTCTCGTCTGGCATGGTTATACGCTTTAACAGATGGTCTAAGTCTAGAAACCACTTATTTTGCGCATGTTACCCCGATTTTAAGAAACCTCTCTGTTAGCTGTCATTGACATGTTCTATTTGCAGAAGAAGGTTGGAGAAGCATCACATTAGGCTTTCCTTGGTTCCAAGATATCGGAAAGTAAATCTGCAGGACAAGAAGGTTTTGTGTAGATGAGTGGTCTCATGCAGTTATGTGCTAAAGAAAACTGACAAAAATTATTTCTCTGGTGTTTACTTAGAATTTGATCCTGTGATCAAACAATCCTTTTGTATGGTCTAACAAACAATGGAAATTGGCCCTTTGTGGCATGGATATTTCTGCCAAAAATATAGTAGAGGCATGCCTCTTCTTTTAGTATTTGTCAAAATTCAATATACCGTCCAATGTCACTCTTGTTCTCTTCCTCTCCAGCATGATTTGTTTCTCTTCCACTATATCAGATTCTCTTTAACTCAGGCATGGGATCATCAAGCCATGTATATCTCAATAAAATACATTTCTAGGAGAAACAATGAAGTGGAGGAAGGAAATTCTTGAACAACAGACATCTACTATCTCTTAAAATGGTTACCATTTTCTGAATACTAACAAGTATCTACATGATTATCTTGTTCCTCTCTACCAATGGGATGATCTTCATTTCAAACTAGTATTAGTAACTTTATCTTGCTTTCATTGCCCGACACCAAAAAACCTATGATTAATCACCAGATACACAAGTTTTTAATCTGCATCTTTTATCTCTGCTTCGACATCAACAATAGATGCTGAAGAAGAATCTTTTCCTGCACAAACATGAAAAATGCATATTCAGCAACAAAGTTACTCAGCAAAGAAAATACATATTGATAAATTAACTTAGAAATTTAATTAAAAATTTTGGTAACTTGTGTTGAAGGAAGAACCTTTCTTGGAACCACGAGAGAAGCCATTGAATGATTGTTTAAAGGTTCCAGTTTGGTTGGAGAACTTCACAGGTTCCTTAATGAACTTGTCATCAACCACTGCCATTCAAGCAAAATATCATGAAACATGAAAATGATAATTATGTTAATGTTACCGCAAGTATTGAAATGCAAGAGAGAAAAAAGTCATGACTCATTATGGAGTTTTGGAGGATTATCGAAAAATCATTTTCTCAATAATGTGCAAACACAAATTCATGAGTAGCACAAAAAGATGATGTAGAATTTATTTCATAAACAATTAACTGGTGACATCCAAATAGTAAATGTTCTTAAGCCAAAAGCAGATCTATATCCATTCAAAGTAAGAGAGTGTATTATTGAGATGTTCAACCAAATTTAAACCATCATCCTGCATGAAACATGAACTTTGAAATTATCATATTTAGCACCATACAAGATAACTAAGAATAGCTGTGCAGCCTGAGAATCATGAAATAGAATGCCCTCTTGTCTCATCTCCTTTAATTTGTTAGGCTGTCTTATCCTGAGTACAATTCTATCGTATATTTGTAGTTTGTCTTCAATCTAAGAGTCTCCCCAGTTCAGATAGAGCTTATGTGTTCGAAGCAGAATATTAAGATTCAATTTAGGTTTACCTTCCATGCTATTCAAGAACATTGTGAAGAAACATCATGTGTTGATAGAGAAGAAAAAAGAAAGTTGAAAAGGAAGATAAAAAGCAGGGTACAATTAACTGCATCACTTGGCAGCTTTGAGATGATCACAAAATTTTAAATTGAACCCACTCTCTATAATCAACTTCATTTCAGAATCTAAAATGCTATGCTAATCAGCATATCCTATAAAAGGAGGCAGAATCAGGATACAAAAGCCAAGGGCAAAGGCCATATGGGGTGAAAAACTGGAAATACATCCATTATTAGGGTTCTAGTTAGTCTAAATACATGTTACATGCTCTATCATGTGGAGACTGTTCTATTGTAAACCGAACTGGCATGGCTCATGGAAAGCATTATCTATTTCAAAACCTCACCAAAAATTATGAGTTTCATGATCACTGAATCTAATGACTGCTAGGTGGTGAGAGCCAAAGTGCCATTTACTTCTAGAGTAAGAAAAGCTGTTAGAAGGACTTTTAGTATCATAAAAGTACACAACACAAAACCAGCTCTGACCTGAGAATGGCTGACTGCAGAAGGGGCACAGCTGCAACTCATCATTTAGAGTCGATCTGCAGTAAGATTACCAAGTAATGTTACTCAACTTAAATTGCAAACTATCTCATAACTGTGATCATGAGATGGAAATGTAATAGGTATTCTTCTACTTACTTGAAAATCTGAAAATCATTTCCGCAATTCGGGCACTTCACATAAACAAGATGTTAGCAAAGGCATTATTTGATATGGCTAGTTGCCTAGTTCACTAAATTACTTCAAATTATAAAGATGACCAACTAAAAACTCCCCTAATTCTTTTATCAAAAAAAAAAAAGAAAAGCAATTTGATGTCACAATGCTCTTTAAATACTTCAGTAAGTCTTTTCAAAACTAAGGAGACCAATCAAATTTTTATCTTATATGCTTTGAGCAACAATAAAAGTGAGCATTTAATGAGAAAATTGGTCTTACATGTTTTCTATTTTATATTCCAATGGTTTCTCAATAACATGACTAGTATATATTTTTAAATCATGAATGCAAAGATTTCAATTGGTGCGAAAGCCATAGACCATGTCCTTCTATTTTCTATGCTGTTAGATAAAGGAGCATTATACAGCCTTTTTTGAATAATAATCCTGCAAGTACTTTGAATTAGAGGATCTACATGACTACTAGCACGGGAAATGACGAAAATAAAGCTATTCAGAAACGGAATTATGAAAAATAAGTAAACAAGCCTCACACTGCTTTGAACAATGTCTCGGCCAGCCCACCAGAGAAAAGCTCCCAACCCAACAATAGGTAGAACCACTGCAAGGAGCTGGTTTTGGAAAACATCAACTGATTAGATCTATATACAGTTTATGTTAATTTCAACAAAAAAATTTTTAAAAGCAGTCTCAAAAGAGTGAATGCTATTATTCAAACATACCACCCAAGGAATGTATGTTTCATTGCAATGAGAATATGGATATTTAAGAGCAATCCCAGATATCTTTAATACGTAAAAGGCTAAAGGCCTGACTGCAATTATCTATACCACATAGAATTATTGATATCAGCCAACCCAGCCCAAATTCAAAAAATATCCTCATAATATTCCCATAGAAGGTTACACAACCAATAGCAAAGTAGAATACAGGGAACTATGGGAAGTTTAAAGGATATTGGCTAGAAGGCTAAAACATGATTGACTCAGGTGATGTTAGCTAGAAAATGTTGTTGAAACTTCAGGATTGCAACATATGATATATTGCTCCATTTCAGGGGAAAGCCAGTAAAAGGAATATGCATAACTAAAAAGGTTGGAACATTTAGAATTCTAGCATTTTTGTAGGTGGAAAACATAGCTGAACTAATAACCACAGAACTCAGGTCATTGCAGGAACAGAACGGCAAAAAATCAATCCAATAATCACAGATGGAGTACATCATCAATGTTCATATCACATCTCATGAGAAATTGCAAAAACTGAATGAAGAAGAATAACAAAAATCGAAAGCTCAGATAGAAAGCAAAGAAAATAGATAAAGCTGCAAAGAACTGTTCATAGGATGCTGTCCCTATATACTCAAGAACTAGTCTACTGCATAACACAGAAGAGAGAGGATACCCAAATTGAAAAAAGAGCATCCAAAAGCCAGTTAAGCTGCCCAGTCATGGAGAGATAAGTCAAGCCAATAGCAAAAGCAAGATTACCCAGCACCCTCGCGTTGCTACTGTTATCTCTCCCACCTCCTCCTCCTCCACCACCAGCACCACCACCATTAAATCCAAAACCCTGATTAAACCTCACCAGCACCACTCTTTTCTTCCTTCTCCACTGCTCCTCCTTCACCAAAATCCCATCTTTTCCTCTTCCCACCTCCAAGAAAGACCACCTATGCCGCTTGTAAGTCCCTACCCGGAATCCTTTCTGTTGTAAAGCAGCAATCTTTGTTCTCGACACAGAGTAGCAGGTAATGGGTTTCCTCCAAAATTCACCATTTGCAGAATTGATGAAGGATGAGAAGCTGAGGGAGACTCGAACAACTGATATCATTGGCAATTTTTTTTCTGGATTAAAGATTTCATAGCTCATTCATAGCAAAGACACAGATTTTGAGTTTTTTTTTCTATCCTCTAGTTTAGGTACTATGGCAGAGTGCCACGTGTCTTTTGCGTCGATTTTTAGCCAACGAATGCCGGCTAAAAGAAGAGAAAATAAGCACGTGGTAGAAAAATTGGATCAATCTAAATATGATATGGGCAGTGTTTAAAATATTAATTTATAATTTAATATGATTCATTCTAAAATTATTTAAATTTAATTGAATTAAATTAGAGTTAGGTGGCACCTGGCCTTAAAGCTTAGTCACCGGTGCATTCCTCCGAACAGAATTTGAAACCCGCTTCTTGTAAAACATGTTAAAAAAAAGGTTAAATGCTAGATTTGGTCCCTCAACTTTAGTGAGTTGCACATTTTAGTCCCTTAACAATTTTTTGCACTTTTTTGATCCCTTAACTATACGAAATGCACTCCGTTAGTTCTTTTGTTAATTTCGACCGTTAACTCGCTCACGTGACATTTTTTATTATGTTTTTGATGACGTGGCAAAAGCAAATTGAAAACATGTGGACGTTGAATTTTTGTTCATGCCAATTCACATTATTATCATTATTTATATTTTTAAAAAATAAATTAATATAATTCCTTCATCTTTTTCCTTTCTCTTTTTCTTTTTTTTTTCTTCCTCTTCTTTCTTCCTCTCCTTTTTTCCTCGCGGGTCATTGAACCCTCTGCTGGGTTCCACCGAACCCAGATCTGCTGGGTTAGGTGGAACCCAAGCTGGGTTCCATCGAACCCAGTTGCTGGGTTCCCCCGAACCCAGTGCTAGGTTCTCCCAAACCCAGCAAATCTGGGTTCGGTATCGAATCCAGCAACTGGGTTTGGTGGAACCCAGCAACTGGGTTTGGTGGAACCCAGCAACTGGGTTTGGTGGAACCCAGCAATTGGCTTCCACCGAACCCAAAACCCAGCTCCACTTTTTTTTTTGTTTTTTTTTTTTGGTTTATATGATTGTTTGCCGTGAGGGATTTTTGGGTAACTAGTTTCTTTTTCTGTTATATGATTGTTTGCCAAGGGATTTCCAAATTGCAGGTTGTTGTGAGAGATTTTTGGACAGTTGAGTTCAATGAATCGATTGGGTTCTGTCGAACTTCAATCTTGAAAATGGAAAGAAATGAATCGAGCTGGGTTCTGTCGAACTTCAATC